GGATGATTAAAAAATGTTCCATCCATCCATCCATCATCTGAACCCGCTTGTCCACGTAGGATGGGGGGGGGGGGGGGGGGGGGCTGGTGCCTATCTCCAGCGGTCAATGAGCAATCAGGCGGGGTACACCCTGGACAAAGTGCCAGTCCATCGCAGAGCAACACAGAGACACACAGGACAAACAAACATGCGCACACTCACACCTAAGGACAATTTAGGCAGACCAATCAAACTAACGTCATAATTTTGGACTGTGGGAGGAAGCCGGGGTACCTGGAGAGAACCCACGCATGCACAGGGAGAACACGCAAACTCCATGCAGAAAGATCCCAGGCCGGGAAGCAAACCCAGCACCTTCTTGATGCAAGGGAACAGCTCTAACCACTGCACCACTGCGCAGCTGATTCAAAAATGTAAAAATATTAATATTTATTATTACAAAAAAGGTCTGTGGTTTATTTTTCTGTTCTGTTTACTTCAATTACGGAGGTTTCATGGGTAATAATTTACTTTTTTACTTGTTAAAGGTGCGGTTTACTCGCATATTCAATACATTTGCAGTGTTCTTTGGTGTCAGTGCCTTATGAGTCATTAAAAAAGCTATGATGCTCTTGTTCTGAGATGCAGAGGTGTGCTGAAAAAAGCAGGATTACTCATTATTAATTAAGATATGCACACACCTCGCTTCTGACTGGCTAACAGAATGCATTCAGCCATGTTGCAAAGTCGCTATCACCAAGATACTCTGCTTTCTCTCCTCGTTGCAAAAAAAACCTTTTTAAAGCCTTCCTGGGGGCGGGGTAGCCAAGATGGGCGGGGCTATGAATGCAAATTCAGTGTGACATAGATATGTGAGGGTTTTCAAATCATCGCATTTCACCGTCTATTTTCTATTAGACGCTAACACAGGAGATAGGTGGATAAAAACTCAGAGTGACTGATTATGTTCAGAAATAATCATTAAAAATGGTGGCTGCATGGTGGCGCAGTGGTTAGCATTGTTGCCTCGCAGCACGAAGGTTGCAGGTTTGAAACTCGGCTCGGCTGCGGCCTTTCTGCGTGGAGTTGCGTGTTCTCCCCATTCATGCGTGGGTTTCCTCCGGGTACTCCGGTTTCCCCCACAGATCACAACATGCCCTATAGGTTATAAATTGTAAGTCGCTTTGGATAAAAAGCGTCTGCTAAATGAATAAACATAAACATGTTTTTTTCAGTCAACCACACCTTGAAGCACCTGGAAATCTGCATGTGATTTTTATTTTTGAAACTCTCTGGATATTTTATAATGTTTTCATGTTTGACTTCCTGTATGGCCCGAGCTAAACTGCTGAGCTTGATGCGATCTGGAAGCAAAACGCATAAAAACTAGGCTTGAAGATAATACTTAATGGCTGGTGGAAACGCACCCGTTCAATATAAAGGCAGCTAATTGATGCGTGCTACGCTTAGCAGAGGTTACGCAACCCTTACGTGTCCAGTGGAAAGGCCTGAGAGGACTCTCACCTGAAAGGTGGAGAGTGCTATGCGTTCCTTCATTAAAGGGGTGGCCTTTCATTTTATTTTTCAAGTTTAAAATTACTAACTAGTTGCTTGAAGGACAGTAAGATATAGAAAAAAACAACTGACTGAAACTCTTTGAGGGGCTCTGAAAATGGCTGTTTTCACAGTACTTTAGGCTCAGTTAATTGATTAATTTACAGGAGCATAAAGTAAAAAAAAAGCAGATGTTGGTGTTGCAGGAAAATAAAAATACACTTCCCTTTTTCTAATTTTTTTAAGTAAATATTCAGACAAAGATGATGTTGACTTTTGCAGCCACTGCTGAATCCTTCATTCTCCCAAACTCTGGCCTGTGGAAGCTATAAACCAACATTAGCAAACAAATCTATTATAAAATGTTGTGCACAAAAAAATTATTTAAAAAAAGCACAGCAACCTTACGGCAAATATTCACACGCTCACAGTGTGAATATTTGAGATCTCCCACAACTCTGTGAAAAAGAACGCCCAAACACTGATATCTCTTTTCACACGTGTGTGTGTGTGTGTGCGTGTGTGTGTGTGTGTGTGTGTGTGTGTGTGTGTGTGTGTGTGTGTGTGTGTGTGTGTGTGTGTGTGTGTGTGTGTGTGTGTGTGTGTGTGTGTGTGTGTGTGTGTGTGTGTGTGTGTGTGTGTTATTTGACCTTGCAGAGGAATTCTCACACCTAATTTACACAAATGCTAACTGCAGCTAAATGCTAATTAGCTGCGTTTTGAGGACAGACTTGAGTCAGAAAATTTAAAGCACAACTAATTTCCATCAGAAGATGTGAATTAAAAAAAAAACCTACTTCTGCTAACCCGTTCCCCTGTGAGTGCCCCCACAGCACCTGCTTCCTCAAAAGCAGTCTTCCGACTCGTTACAAACTGTGTACACATATGCTAATTACCAGCTAACCCACTGCTGTGTTGAAAAGCATCTTAAAGCTTATAGAGGGCTGGATGTTTCACTGTTGCTAAGAAACCAGAAAATCCTTGAACATCTAACTGGCTGTTAAGACAGTGGGGGAAAACACAGACTTCAAGCAAATAGAATAGAAGTAGAAATGCCAAAAGCTCCTCCACATTTTTATCGTGTTCCTGTTATAGTTATTATCGTTTATCAGTGTGAGAGCTGAGAACAGGGTGTCTGTCTCTGCTGGACGGGCTGATTCCTCAGAAAGTATAACAAAGATTAGAAACCTTCTCTAAAATGGCTATTTTTTCCCCCAGTTGAATAGATAATAACTTAAAGACATGGTAGTGATGCTTCAGGTTACATAAAAGCAGCAGCGCAGTCTTCCTGATCTAAAATGAACTAACTTTGGCATCTAGGAACTAAAATCCCCCGTTTCACTTTCTCTTTAAAACCATCGCTCACATGATCAGTTTTAGTTTTAAACACCTTGATTCTCAAAAGAAAAGTAGCCTTTTTGTCGTGTGTGTGGGTTTCTATCCCAACACACAACACAAGTGTTCTGGTCCATTGATAAGAGCACATTGTGACATTTTTTACAATAAATAAATATATATAGAAAAGTGTACATCCTCTTAAATGGTACAACGATAACATGACTGTCTGGTGAACTAGACCAAATTCTTCCTTTGCAATGCTGTGTCTACAAACGCTCCATTGGGACATCTGCGGCCCCAAGCAGCATTCTGGCAGGCCAATCACAGCTCTCTATAGGGGTTTCAAACCAATAAAGTGTTGTGACTGGTGCATAATGGTGGGCAAATCACAGCGCTCTATCGACTTTGTGGTGCCAGTCAAGCCATTCTATTGGTTAGGTGGGCGGGGTGATGCGACGGAGTGGAACAAGATGGCAACAGCTCATTTGAAAGGGCTTTTACATCATTTTTGGATCATTTGGACTTGGGTTTTATTAATCAGGAGCAGTTCTTTATTTAGAAAAAGGATTCAATTTCACCTTTTTCAACGGCAGACTGCCTCATTTACCGACATCCGTTGCGGTGAGTACGTCACATTGTTCATTGTCCGGCATGCGAAGATCGTTTGAAAGACAAAGGTAGAACCCGCCCCACGACCGAGAACCGTCAATGGAGCGTTGCCGGATAAAATTATTTATTTTTTTAGTTTGGCTTGTCAGGCTAGGGTGAACTGTGTTTTTGTTTTACAAATAAAAAGGAGACTTTACAGTTTTGGCTTTCCTTTAGCACCCCCTGGTGTCCAGTTAGTAAAATCGAAAGTGAAACTCATCCCCTAGCCGTGCGTTTGTCTTTTTGACGCCTTAATTTAACAGCTGAAACGTTTCCTCATCCTTCTTTAGTGTCTACAGGAGTGATTAATCACTAAATTAAACAAATCAGCTGGAAAATGTGCTGGAAAACATGCTGGAAGCAGACTGCAGCGCCGAGTATGTCCGCTCCACATTTACTAAGTCCAACAGGAGGCGGCCCCCCACTCTGAAGTTGCAAGTGCAATATTGTGGCCACAGTGTGCTGTGGGGGAGTGAAATTTCATTTTCCTTGTAAAGGGTGATTTTAGTACATACTGGCTCAAGAAAATTACTTGAAAACATGAAAAAGTTGCAGAGTATTGCTTTAATGATTTAATTCTGAAATTTACTTTCCAGAGAGAAAAACTAAATTCCCTACGGAAAAAATTAAGTATACACTAGAGGTTGACCAATTTTAGTTGTTCTAACAGCATAAATTGGCCGATATATCAGTCTACCCCTAGTATTCACCTTTCAGTCATAATATATAACATTGTATTGTATCATTGCAACGTTTTGTACTAATATAGTAATGTATTACATCAGATCGTAACGATATACAAAACAGTAGAGCTGGACGATATGGCCTAAAATCAATATCACGATATATTGAGGATTTCACCTCGATAACGGTAAATGGACGATAACTACAGGTATGCGCAGAATCAAAAGTTGTCCACTAGATTGGGCTGTCACATGTATTACTTTGAGTCACATTTTTACGTGACTGACGGTGGTACAGCTTCTTATAATCAAATTTATTGACATGGGAAAAATTATCTCAATAAGGGTCAGAAATTTCGATAACGATAACTTTTCGATTTATTGCCCAGCCCTACCCAACAGTATTTTATTGTATTAAATTATATGGCATTGTTTGACAACAGACTGTATCATATTGTATTTGATCACTTTATTTATTGTCCAGTATCTACAGTATATACACTACTGCATTGAATACTGTTTCCAATCAGATTTTATTGTCCCATCCACATTCAGCCAACACTTTTAACACTCACTATCACAAATAAAGCATTAAATATTAATCAATATATTTTAGTGAATTATTTCTACTGGCCAGCATTTAGTCCATTTAAAATGCCGTTTGAGGTTGTTCTATGCTCTGGGCATCCCTTCCACACCAGAGCAATCAGTGTCCCATTCTAAGTTAAGACCTAAGAAGTCATTACTATGTACAGCACCTCCCACTAGTGTGCATACGTGCACTTTTAACTGACCTACCTTGACACTGGAATCCCTGCTTGCCAAAGCCCCTGTGGAGAGAACATAAAGAGAGCAATTTACACACATAATCTGCAAAACGGACTCGTGTAGCTCTTTAACTTAAGATCTTTTCATGGAGTCTGATGTTAAACTGCAGATCCATTGTACCGACAGACTAGGGAGAGCAAATTGAGCACACGCTGATCCACAACCACAAAGCTATGCATGAAGGACACTCAATTATCACACATGTTGATTTGCAGCTGCAACCGGTCCAAAAGGTTCAGACACGCCTAGTCAAATGGTATGGGCAATGCTGGGATCATGCTAGGTGCATGAATGAACACACACACACACACACACACAGAGCCCAGCTCGTTTTCATATTGTAGCTACAAATAGATCATCTGCACTAATAGATAGATAGATAGATAGATAGATAGATAGATAGATAGATAGATAGATAGATAGATAGATAGATAGATAGATAGATAGATAGATAGATAGATAGATAGATAGATAGATAGATAGATAGATAGATAGATAGATAGATAGATAGATAGATAGATAGATAGATAGATAGATAGATAGATAGATTATCCGACTACAGTCCTATCTAGGTCATCTACATATTAAAAAGCTTGTCACTTCCAGCAGCCATTGTGGGATTAGTGCAGAAAATACTAAAGGGCCAAATCTGAGCTGTAAACGAGTGTGTGTGTGTGTGTGTGTGTGTGTGTCTGTGCGTGTGCGTGTGTGTGTGTGTGTGTGTGTGTCTGTGCGTGTGTGTGTGTGTGTGTGTGTGTGTGTGTGTGTGTGTGTGTGTGTGTGTGTGCGTGCGTGTGTGTGTGTGTGCAGGTGGGCTGTAGGGTGGCGTGTCTATCCAGGTTCAGGCTGAGGTGGGCGGCTGAACTGGTGTCAGCTCTGTCACTCACTGAAACACTTTATTCTTTTCACTTCTCAGGGAAACCTTTCCTCACCCTGTGAGATCCGCGGCCTCTCTGCCTACTTCATCCCATCAAACGACGGTCTGCAGCTCTTCTCTTTTATTTTACTAGAGCAGCCCACTCTGTCTTCTCGTTTGTCCTGCCTTACATCGACGAGTATCAGTGAGATTAAATGGATGTTTGTTTTGGGAATGGAAAGTGCAGCTGGACAGTCCTTCCTACTTTCTCTATTCCTGGTGAAACTTGAATAGTTCAGATGAACTAAAGCAGCATTGCAGTGCAATGGTTAAAACAACTGAGCACTGTTGTAGAGAGCTATAAGTTTGGAGAAATTGTGTTTATTTCTGCAAGAAAAACAAACTAATAGTCACTCCCAATGGAGCCAAAATGTGTTTTTTAATTTAGATTTTCCCTCTCAGGCATGCTTTCATTTTGTCTTTCCTAAAGATGATTGAGAGTAGCGTAATTTCATTTCTCTGTATGTCCTGTACATGTGGCAGAATTGACAATAAAACTGACTTTGACTTTGATAATGTACATTTGCAACTGTTGAACCCAACTAAAACGTGTGGTAGTGTTATTTTACCCCATACAGTTTGATGCAACCTCAAGCTACATTTATTATAAACCTCTACTTTCAAGCATCAATACTATTTTATCTCCCTGAATAGCAGCTTTTCTCTGTTTTATCAAGTCTGCTCGTGTTTTCCTCACCACTAAACTCTGCCACCTGCTAACATGAAACTACAGAAAAAGAAATGTTTTCTAGTGAAAACCGCTCTCATGTTAAACATTTTCAATATTAGCAAAATAACAGAGTCCCCGAGTGTGCAGGATCGTGTCCCCTACCTTTCCTCACACTGTGCAGGCGCTCAGCTGTAAAGCTTGGTTTATGCTTGACGCATTTACTTTCCGCTTAGTGATGCGGCTCTCGGATGGAGCGCGCTTCACAACTCGCAGCGTTTATGGTTCATGCGGCTTGTCTCTGCGGTGAGCCAATATTCTCCCAAACTGTAGGGGGCAGCATGGAGCTCTACAGCAGGCATCCAACACTACACCATAGTAGAAGTAAAAATTACTGTTGTTTACAACATGGCATTCCAGCATTTCTAACAGCGTCCTCGTCTTTTCCGACAGTGCGAGCTATTCCTCTCCAAGAATTATTAACTACATGTTGATCGCGGTGATCTTTGAGAACTGAATCATACAAATGTCTGTATTTACGAACCTCTGCCAAACTAGTTAGTGCCGGTCCGCCATGTTTTCCGCGTCCGACCGTCCGCGTGGTTAGAAAATTTCCTAGGTGCGCGGTGCAGAAATTTTGGGCCGTGCGGAGGCGCGGTGGAGGGGCGTGGTTGTTAAAATGATGCAATTTTGCCGTGCGAACCTCGCGGACGCGTCAAGCATAAACCAACCTTAAGTGGAAACAAACTCGTCTGTCGAACTTTTACTCTGTGATGCAAAGTTTGCATTCAGCAGCGAAAAACACTACCGAGAGGATGCTCGTAAAAATGCGTCAACACGGTGGATTTACCACCAGTTTTAAAGAACGGGCCGCACGGCGGCGCAGTTGTTAGCACCGTTGCCTCGCAGCAAGAAGGTTGCAGGTTCGAAACTTGGCTGTGGCCTTTCTGCGTGGGGTTGCGTGTTCTCCCCATGCATGCGTGGGTTTCCTCCACAGATCACAACATGCCCTGTAGGTTAACAATTGTATGTCGCTTTGGATAAAAGCGTCTGCCAAATAAATAAACATAAACAGACTCTGGGCAGCGCGAAGCGAGTTTTCAAGGCTCACTGCAGAAACTCAACAGCTAATCTCCGCTCACACTCGTCTGTGTGAGCGTGACCGTCTGACTGCTGAGCAACTAACCTGTAAAATAATTCAAGTCATCGTGCTAGATCAGCTTTTCTCTGTGGTGGACGGCTGACACCGGGTTCTTCCCACTAGAGCCAATTATGGATTACAAATAAATATAATAAAAATGATCTCAATCACATAATAAATCTCACAACACGCAACGTTGTGAGATTATTTTTGGCTTTTTTGAACTCTTTAGTCTGTTGAGAGCAGACGGCGAGTGACTTGAGTCTCGTTGCTGCAGCCTGTAGCTGTCATCCATCATCCTGAGCTGGACTTTTCTGGTTCTCTTGAAGACATTTAGCCTCTCATCCCAGCCTTCTTCAGTTCCCAGACTTGGGTTGTGAGTTGTGGTCCGAAACAAACGCACTGACTGTGCTGCAAGTCTTTTTCGTTCGTGTTTGAAAACGTGTTTCTAAATGAAGGTGATGATGTTGTTCATAAAATTAAAATTCATGTTGAAGTGCAGATTATTCCATCAACCTGTGGTTAGCTGGCTCCTTTAAATCATGTAAAGCTTTTGGACTCTGCCTCTTGAAAGAATCAGATTCAGGAATTGAACCGGAATCGAAATGAGGAACTGGAATCTGAACCATAATCGTTCAAATTCAAACTATGCCCAAAAATTGTGAGGAATTATGAAACAGTGATAAACTTGACTAGCTGTTAGCTTATCGATCCAGCCACTAATTGCCATTTTTCTCAAGAGGCCATTCGGTGAGCTAAATAGGGTCAAATAATTTATTCTCAGCAGAACCCCGCTTCTAAACATCCTAATTGTGATAAAACCTTTATTTAGATTCCAAGATTGAAAAGGGATCAGATATTTTTTTAAGTAAAACCCTTAACCCGTTATGAATGAGAGCTGAAATAAGTTTTAAAAGCTATTCACCAGATGAAGTCGGTGCAGTGGCTGCAGAAGGTGGGCTGCTTGAAGAAGCGCGCGATGAATTTGTGGTCCTTCACCTCGTGCACGTTCTTCTGCCGGAGAGCTCCCTGGCGCGCGAAGCCCCGCACGGGCTGCTTGGGTCCGTCCTCTCCGTCGCTGTTCGTCGCCGCCGAGTCTGCCATTCTCCGAGCTCACGGTGCGGCTGTTCGGGGGGGCTTATTTAACTCAAGGTGTCGCCGACGGACAAACAGTAAACAAACAAACAAATAAAAATACAGGAAGAGGAAGAAAAAGCACACGAGCGCTGTTTGAAGTAAAAGCAAAGTGGCGCGTGTTTTGGAGTTGTTGGGAAGTGTCTGCTGAGCTGATCTGGGTTCAGATGTTGCTGCTGCCGCCGCGCTCTGCCTCTCCTCCCTCCGCTTCCTCCTTTTCTTCTCAGAGCTCCGACAGCAGCAGAGCAGAGAGATAGAGCTGCGCTCGTTTCAGGAGATGACCCCATCCATCACTTCATCCTAAACAGTTGATGTCAGAAAGTTTTTATTATTGTAATAAGATAAAGGTAGACAAGGATCTCACTATACCACATTACCGGGTTAGACCCATATTTGCCTTCAGAACTGCCTTAATCCTTCATAGGTGTTAGAAACCTTCCTTATAGAGGTTCTGGTCCATCTTGACATGACATCATCCCAGCTCCATTCATGATGGGAGCCACCTGTTCCACCACATGTTCTGGACTGACTGAGATCCGGTGACTATGGTAGTTGGAGTCCAGTGAACTCGTGTTCATGTTCTAGAAACCAGTTAGAGATGATCTGAGCTATGGTGCACGATCCTGCTGGAAGTAACCATCAGAGGGGGCCATGTGGTCATAAAGGAATGAACATGGTCAGCAACAAGACTTGGGAAGGCTGTGGTGTTTACACCAAGCTCAGGTGGTGCTGAGGAGTCCAAAGTAGGAGAACACCCCCCACCGCTGCCACCATTACAGCAGCAGTCTGTAGCGTGAGGCAGGATGAATCCATACTTTCATGGTGGTGACACCAAATTCTGACCTGAGCATCTGAATGTTGCTCCTGAAATCCAGACTCATCAGACCAGGAAAGGTTCACCAGTCTCTTCAGGTGTAGCTCTGTTGATCCTGTGTGAACTCAGGTTCCTGTTCTCATCTGACAGGAGAGACACCTTGGCATCATCAACATTCATAGAAACTTCTGCCATGATCTGCCCCTGCCCTCCTGACTGTCTCTCTCCTGCCCTGATTAGTCTGTATTGTTCTCACCTGTCCCTCGTTAACCTGCCCATGTTTCCTAAATAACCTGTTGTATTTATACCACCTGTTTTGCTGAAACCCCTCCCTACAAAACAAAAGGATTCAACAGAAATCACAACTTGACACAACACCAACCGAATCTTTTTACCTAATATCAAGTTCAGTAAATTCTCTATGAATGCTTCTTTTCAACTGATCTAGAGCAGAGATCTTGTAACAGTTTAGGTTTTTGTTTGGTTTTGTTTTGGTCAAAGTGGTCAAAAGTCGGACATGTAACAAAAATACTCTGAACAACAATCTGTTCTGTTGGAGAACTTTGGTTTAGTCACATTTCAGTTGGTGTTTCACCCAAGGTGCAGGTGAACTAAAGAAAACCTGCAATAAAGAAAACGGATGGAAAGGACGCTGCAGGAACAATTGGAACCAAGATGCTTGGATCCTTTAAGGGGTGATGACAAAGAGAAACAGGTGAGACACTGGGTTATTTAAACCAGAAGATTGGATCTTTTTGTTGCAGGGATTAGATAACCATTATGTGTTCACTCAGAGACAACAGAACAGAAAGAGTCAAGATTAAAAGTTAAGAATTTTATTACTAACCAATTAAACTAGACTGACTTTAACTAAATGTATAGTGTAACTAAAAATGGATGAGGCGGTGAATGGATGACGTGTGATGTAAATCCGAAGAAGCGATTGTTCTGGCGGGAACTGAAGATGTTGTTTTGCATTAAGCTTTGGTTGGCTTCAGAAGCACATGAGACCCCATCATGCTGGCCTACCTTGCCTTTGGTGGAAGTCCTCTGTAGATCAGGAACATCGAGGTCCAGCGAACCCTCTCTGGAACCGAGCCGGTAGGAGAAGCCGCGGTTCCGATCAAACCCGTCTTGAGTTACTTCCGGCACACGACACTTTTATTGGCGTCTGGTCAGACCCAAGCCTGGGTCGGTGAATGGAGCTATTATTCTGAAAGGAGCTGTTGCCGCTGGTTGGTGTAGCGACTGGATTTTTCAGCTTGTCGTTGTTCTTTCGGTTAAAGAGTAGAGATCAGGATTGGCCTCTCCATCACTTTCTCTGGAACGCTTTGAACTGGCGTTAGAGCTGACGTGGCATAGTTTTATACTTCGGTTGTTATGGTTTATTGTCGAATGAAAATTACCAAACACCACAACGCCTCCGTCAGATCTGTCAGATTCTGATTGGATCAGTGAAAGGAATGTGTCATGTCTTTTTAACGCTACGTGAAATGAGTCCTGTTGGAACACTTAAAGTCATATTACTTATTATATTCTATAGGATCATAATGAAGTAATAAATATTTTGATTTCACAGATCGGTCACATCTTATTATATTGACTAACACTTGGTTGGATTAGCTTTATTAAAATAGAGTTCTTTGATTAATTAAAAGAAAAAAGTTCAGTCTTCGTTCTTCTGTTGAGCTGAAAATAAGCAGGTTAGAAGGAATGCACGAGACCTTGAGAGTATCTCTCATGCAGACTAGTCCTGAGCAAAGAAGGGAAAAAACACAGCCTTCTGTTCCGTTACAAGGTGAAATGTAACACGTTTCAGCGAAATTAACAATAAACTGTAGGAAAATAAATACAATGTTAGTTCAGCGCTAATGGCTAATACATGTGCAAGATAATCGCATTGTTAGCTATCTTTTTCCTAGTTATTAGTGGACATTTTCCTAATGTCCACTCATCCAACAGTATAATCAGAACTCTGTATGTCTATAGAAAGTTTGTAATTAATCGCCTTTAATGTGTGAATGAGGGTAGGAGTTGGGGTTGGGGGTCCTGACTTGTCTCGGACACAAGAAAGAGGGTCCTCAAGGACAAACGTTTGGAAATCGTTGAGCTAGGGTACTCTTCAGAAGTCCTCCTGGTGGTGGGTGAAGAATATTGTTGCTTTAGCTAGTCGATACACATAAACTTGTACTTTTCTGACGAATGCTAACAGAAGCTAACGCAGCTTTAGAAATCTAAAATCAAAACAACACAGTTAAAACAGAATTCACTTGTTTTACCGGTTAACATACAGACAGATGCTAGCACTGCCGCAGCAAGTCGCTAGCCTGGCAAGCCTTCTGTGAACATTCTGGCCACGACCCATAGACAAAGTCTGGTGATTGGCCAGAACCTTGTCTCAGCATGCTATTGGACAATCAACAACGTGACAAACTCACCACTCACCGTTACCGCTGTCAGTCAGCGGGGCAGTCTGCCATGAACTGTCGAAGAAAACGAACATACATCCTTTTTCTAAATAAAGAACTTTAGTACCTCTGTCTACTCTTGACTCAAAAAAAAAGTCTGAGAAATAGTCCAAAGTTGATGCCAAAGCCGTGTCAAACAAGCCACCGCCATCTTTGTTGTTTCTCTCCGCCGCAGTAACATCCTACCCTTGCTGTAGAGCGCAGGGATCCAGTAGGCTCTGTCTATGAAAAGTAGCCATTTAAAACTCCCATGAGCCTTTGCTGTAAAACTTATGATTCATGTTATCATAATCTTCATTATTGAGTTTTAAGGATAAAGTAGATGCTCCCTGCCTTTCTACCATAACAGGCTAATAATTATTGTGCAGTTTTAATATTAGTGCTAATAAAGATGTACCTTTAGTGATGGCAGCCATCATTAGGATCATTCCTCGGGAAATAACTGATATTCTGTCTGACTGCATTATTGAAAAACTAAAAATAACTGTTACCTTGCTACTTTATATTATGATTCTGAATTTGTTCACACCCCCCCCCCCCAAGACATGATACACACACACACGTGGCTGTAAGTGACCTAGATGAGATTGATTATGCTGCATGATACATAACAGTGTGTGGAGATCAGCTCATCAAATCAAGATCCAGCTCGCTCTCTCTCTCTCTCTCTCTCTCTCTCTCTCTCTCTCTCTCTCTCTCTCTCTCTCTCTCTCTCTCTCTGTGTGTGTGTCTCTCTCTCTCTGTCTCTCTCTCTCTGGTCCCCATTAATTCACTCACCTATTCATACTTCTGACATTATCTACCTGCAGGATTATATAACCGGCTGTCCTGTCAGCTGTGAAAAGAAATTAATAGCTTACTTTGCAATGGTTACATGCATCAAGAGACTTGGGTAGTGACATATCTGTGAGAACCTGAATTAGCTTGAGTGTAAGATTAAACTATTTTTATATATAGCCTGAGTCACAGAGCTCTTATATTTTATCAGCATAGAGGATGTGATGTAACTCCTCCGTAGGGCTGCTGAGCCATAAGGAGCACATCCACACCATTGGTGAAGTTAGTCGGGACAGTTAACCCCAGAAGCAGTCCGGTGGGGGCAAAACTTTTTTCTATTTTTTGCTACATGGACAAACATCCGTTTCATCTTCATCCTTATCCGTCTGGAATCATAGGTTTCACCCTACCCCTTAGCCATGTTGTGGCATTTTGCATGTTTGTCCCCAGGGTTTGAATTATGGGGGAGCTAGGGGAAGCCCGGCTCCCCCGAAAGCAGGCTATTGACGCACCCAGGGAAGCCCGAAAAATGGTCTTCCAAGCAGACCTGAGCGCTCCTAACACACAGTGAGAATATTCTCTGTGGTTCCAATCATACCGAGCCAGGTCGAAAATACGATGTCAGTGCCTGCCGGTCACCGATTGGCTAGGGGGTGGAGTCATTGGGTGTTTCTCAACGCCAAGGAACCCCGCCTTGATGTCTTGGCCCCGCCCCAGTTGCCTAGGAGATACGTCATCGGGAGCCGCCAAGACGTGTTCCAATGTTCATGTTCTACCGAGGCGTGTGTTCTACATTTGATAGCCGTTTAGCTAGCTGAGCAAGGATTCATGGGAGGTGTCTTGTAGCCTAGCTTTGGTCAAAAATTACCCAGAATACACCACGTTATTTTCAAAAGGATGGCGGATCAGAAGCCGGCAGCTACTATGGGGGCAAATTTCAAGTTTAAAAGTAAGTCAACTAATTTAAAATGTTTTTTTTAGATCCAAAAAAGTTATTTATTGTTGGTTATTAGCTGCAGCTTCGGTGGCTAGCGGGTGGTAACTTGCTTACATATTTAACAAATTTATACACAATTTAAAAATTAAAAAGCTCATTTTATACATATATTGAAACTAATACGTATAAAAATAACGTTATCTCCCATGTCACGTGGCATTACGTGACCGCCGTGGAAGCCGCGGT